CATTGGCAGTCCCCGTGAGATTGATTAACCCTTCGAGTTTAGGCTTCGCACCCCTTCGTGGTCACATAGGAGACCTGCAGAACATCTCTTTCCAAAGACTCGTTTATCCAACGACCAGCAAGGCTCTGGAACACATTGCCAAGGCAGGTGTTTATCGAGGCATGTGACCTCCAGAAATTTGAGAAGAACACCAATTCCCACCTTTTTTTCCCTTGGTTCTCACGATATTCTCTGAACATTACATGATATCCCTTTTCGTGGGAACCAGAACATAAAAAAAAGTTACAATATGGTATGGGGAAATTCCACTGAAATCAGAGTCTTGGTACTGCAAAATAGAATTATAAGTATCATAAATATACAACTTGCAATACAGAGAATTTTGTAGAGAAACTTTTAGGAAACAGAGAATACTTACTGTGACTGGAATGTACAGGGTTTGTCACGACGAGCTTAGACAATCTCTATATCGTGAATCAGTCGGGAGAAATCCATGAAAAGATGTATGCTTATATTTTAGAATACGCTTCCTTCATTTGAAATATTTTCAGCAATGCAGTGTTGCCGCTTCTATCAAAAAGTAGCAAAAACTTTGTTATTTCAAATAGAATACCCTGTATTTAATTGCATTCTTCAATTCTCCCTGAAGAGCTGATTTCACCGATACATCGAACTTGGGGTATATCGGGAATGATTACAGAGATATAGGGTGTTCAAAATCGAGATTTTTTAACTTTAGATTTTGTTTGTGTCGAAACTATTTATTATCTGCCAAAACGGCTCACATGTCCCTATCTCAACTTTTGATTCACTATTTACAGATATTCAATCGGAACAGATACAGGGAGGTTGAAGATCCAAATTTCGGATCACCTTGTGTCTACATACCCTATCCAAAATGACAAAATATTTTCATTGGAATATTGTCCTAGGTACTTTAACAATATTTTATTTCAACCAACAAGATGTATAGTTAACGTGAAAACAATTTTGATGAATTGACAATCATCTCAATGTTCAATTATATTGAATGAATTTTGACAAGAATAAATTGCATGATAACATTAAATTTTATTGATTCGTTAGACCGCTGTTTTTTCTCACGCCGGTGCAATACACTTTTGGATCAAAATATTATGCATCTTGTTTTTTCGGCAAAATACAAAATAATTTCGACACAGAGATATATAGCTACGTCATTTTCCATTGAAAATATTGCTATTTCAAACAAATTATTTCGTCAACACCATCCGAACGCTCTGATAGGGATGTTTGTACATACATATACACATATCTATAGAATATTTGTTTGTTCATAGGGTGTTCCAATAAAGTGTTACATTACATTCATGTTTCATTGAAAAATATCGAAAATATTTTGTGGTGATTCTTGCTACCAGTGAGATCTAGAAATCTTTATGATGCAGCTTATACTCGCTTCAGAGAAGGGTGTTTCGAAAAGAAAGCGCAGAGCTATGCGGAAAATGTAAAGTTGGTATAAATTCCCTAGGGAGAAAATATGTCACATTATCTCCCTAGGGAATAATACGAGAGTTCTGCCCCTCTTCTGTTACTTCATCTTTCCTTGCCGGCGTAAAAACAAATATTATTCGTGGATATCGTGAGATATTTTTTGTTGGCTAAAACATTTTTTTTCTCCATGATAAAGTGTGTACAAAAATTAACCGTAGCGCTTTGCAAAAGAGTGAGAGAGAGCTAATGAAAGTGAGGGAAAATTCAGTGACATTTGTAGTAATAATGGTGATACGAGTGTATCAATTGTTTAATAGGACTCATTATTGTTACTTCCGCGAAATAACATATTCGGTTCTAAGTGGTTCTAGTCGTTTTGTTCATTTTTGTCGGTGTGGTCTCCAAATAATAAGGCAAAATCCCAAGTAAGTTCAATATTTTAAAAAAATTATGTAATGTGACAGTTTCGTAAACTTGAGCACTAAAAATTGAATTCAGTTAAAAAGTGATTTCAAGTAGAGTTCATTATATAAATAGTCATGAAATCTATGAATAATTAAAGGTAAAATGTTGCGGAGTTGTTGCTACCTTATTGTTTCCTAAATAAAAAAATAATAATAATCTATTCCTAATTTTATTTTAACTCAAAAGTAGCCTGAAGATGACTACTGAGGTCGAAACAGGAAGCAGTCCTATTGCATGAAGTAATTCTTTATTTCGTTCTAATTTCACAAGAGAATTGAATTTTCGAATGCTTACATCTTTCTCAAAATGATGAACCCTCATCTATAGGTGTTTTAATCAAGCAAATATTTTTTTCTACAAACGTCAAAAAATGACAAGGTTCGCGCATTGATAATAAATTGCGAAGTGACACTTTTTTTCAGTTTCCAACGTTACCATGATAACTTGCACAAAACAATGCGCGAAGTAAAACAGTGCGCGAAGTACCTACTTCGCGCATTGTTATGTAAAATATATGAGATATTTATATTTCAACTTTAAGGTCCTCAATCGAGCAAACATCTACGAAATCATTTATTTCTGAATGTTCAACAATAACTTTGTTTTATCTCTTGGAGCGCACGAAAGAAAATTCCTTTTATGTTCATGGAACATCGTGCGTACCTAGGGAGGATAGGGGGAGACCTTTTAAGCCAGTTCGACACTATTTTTCATATCAAGCTAAGCATATTTTTACTTTAAAACTATATTTTTTGACGTTTTTAGAAAAAATTTTGATGGCAACTCGAGCGCGAAATACTTTGGTCATCTCGACTATTTCTTTCAACTCGACTACGCCTCGTTGAAAAAATCAGATCTCGATCACCAAAGTAGCATTTCGCGCCCTAGATACAAAATAGTTATTTTTGTATCTAGAGCGCGAAATGCTACTTTGGTGATCGAGATCTGATTTTTTCAACGAGGCGTAGCCGAGTTGAAAAAATAGTCGAGATGACCAAAGTATTTCGCGCTCGAGTTGCAAACAAAATTTTTTCTACAAATGTCAAAAAATATAGTTCTAAAGTAAAAATATGCTCAGATTGATATGCAAAATAGTGTTGAACTGGCTTGAATGGCCTCCCCCTATCCGTACGCACGATGTCCCACGAACATAATAGGAATTTCCTTTCGTGTGCTCCAAGAGATGAAACGAAGGTATTGTTTGAACATTCAGAAATAAATGATTTCGTGGATGTTTGCTCGATTGAGGACCATAAAGTCGAAATATAAATATCTCACATATTTTACATAACAATGCGCGAAGTAGGTACTTCGCGCACTGTTTTACTTCGCGCATTGTTTTGTGCAACGTAGCATGGTCACGTAGGAAACTGAAAAAAAAAGTGTCACTTCGCAATTTGTTATCAATGCGCGAACCTTGTCATTTTTTGACGTTTGTAGAAAATAGTTATTTTTGTATCTAGAGCGCGAAATGCTACTTTGGTGATCGAGATCTGATTTTTTTAACGAGGCGTTGCCGAGTTAAAAAATTAGTCGAGATGACCAAAGTATTTCGCGCTCGAGTTGCAAACAACATTTTTTCTACAAACGTCAAAAAATATAGTTCTAAAGTAAAAATATGCTCAGTTTGATAGAAAAAATAGTGTTGAACTGCCTTAAAAGGCCTCCCCCTATCCTCCCTAAGTACGCACGATGTTCCACGAACATAATAGGAATTTCCTTTCGTGCGCTCCAAGAGATAAAACCAAGTTATTGTTGAACATTCAGAAATAAATGATTTCGTGGATTTGCTCGATTGATGACCATGAAGTTGAAATAAAAATATATCATATATTTTATATAACAATGCGCGAAGTAGGTACTTCGCGCACTGTTTTACTTCGCGCATTGTTTTGTGCAAGGTATCATGGTAACGTAGGAAACTGAAAAAAGTGTCACTTCGCAATTTGTCATCAATGCGCGAACCTTGTCATTTTTTGACGTTTGTAGAAAAATAACTATTGTGTGTTTTGTTCACGTACTTGGCTACAGAAAAAAATGAATCAAATTACTTTCAGAATTAATGACATTCAAGCGTGTACTGAATGTTCCATATAAAAAAAATCATTACGTCACCTTATTATGTCTTTTATTTGCCAGTCCTATTGCATGAAGTTTTTCTTTATTTCGTTCTAATTTCACAGGTGAATTGAATTTTCGAATGCTTACATCTTTGTCAAAATGGTGAACCCTCATCTATAGGTGTTTTAATCAAGAATATATTTTTTTTTTCTACAAGCGTGCGTGATTCACCCTATACCCACACGCAATTTAGTTTAGGAAGTTTCATTTTCCCGCAACATTGCGGTTGTTAGTTGTTCCTGAATGAATGGATAATTTATGGAACAAATCAATCAATTTCCTACGCTTGTAGAAAAAATATTGTTCCTAACTCATGCGGAAAGTGTCTTTCCCGCACTCGACTGCTTGCCCGAACTCCGCTTCGCGTCGTTCGTGTCAACGGCAGTCGCGTGCGGGAAAGAATCACTTTCCGCACTTGTTTGGAAAATTACTATTTTGTTTTTTGTTCACGTACCTGACTTCAGAAAGAAGTTCATCAAATTACTTTCAGAATTGATGACATTCAAGCAAGCGTATACTGAATGTTCCATACGAAAAAATCATTACGTCACCTTATTATGACTTTTATTTGCAGCAAATGAGTGTTATGGGGGTTCAACCACGGTTCAACCTTATAGTGAGAAACCCTGAAAATACTATTTCAAGTAATTCGATCACTACCAATCCATCAAAATCGTGAATTTATTGGCACACTATATCCAACATTATCATCCAGTCAGAATCCCCACAATTTCCTCAGCTCAGCTGTTCTGGAGTGACCTTTTCAGAGTTCACTTTATTTTAATCCTATTTAGAACACAACGATATATGATACATGCACTTCATTATTCGAATATAAACACAGAGTTGAAGGATCTTATCGTCGTGGCAAACACATAATATGATTTCACCAGTGGCGTTCTATTGTGATGAAGTTTCAGCTCTTATTTTATTTTTGTCAGGACCTCTTTGAAACACCTCTCCACATCGACCCCTGCAATGACTGCGCAGGCGCAGCTGACAGAACCGCCAAGCCCCAAAACCACCAAAGACCCGAAAATCCACACGACGTCCAAATCCAGACAGAAAAAGTTCTTACGACACTTTCCTAACGTAGAAGAAGACGAGAAAATCCTCAACTACTATTCCTGTGCTCTCATCGGAGACATCTTGCTCCAAGGAAATCTCTACATCACCACAAACTACTTCGCTTTCTACTCGAACGTCTTTGGATATGTAACCAAGGTGAGTAGCAACTTTGAGATCACCAGACAATCCCAAGTCATGGGGTCAATGATAATCCCAAGGCCTGTGGTCAATGATATTGTCGCAGCTCAGATTGTTCTAGTAGGTTATATGGCATTATTGAGAAGAAACTGCGCCTCCACCACGTGTCGCAACTCAGATGTTGAGCATCCTATAGGTCGTGACTTAGCTACTCGTTTGGCTTTTTGACGAGAGGTTTTGATCATTTCACCACCCAACCATATTCATCCCCAAATAAAGAGAATTGTTTTTCAAAAGTACAACAAGCAATTTATTCAATCATGGAAAACATAAAAATGTGCCAAAAGGGCGGAGCAGCAAAGAACAAACATGAAACGAGCAAACAACAGAAACAAGATGATGGTTCTTGGTACTCACATTATGGTATGGGCAGCAGCACCAAAGTCGAGGAGATGTCCCACCCCCAAAGTGGCATAGTGCCACTTTGGAAGTCAGCAATCAATGAATGAGTGTTATGTACGATTGAACTAGTAATGCCTTGTGTTGATAATGAATTATGATTGCCTTATCGACGCGGGTACTATTTATATTTGGAATCGATGCTAGGTTCGCAATTTTCCGCAGTGGGAACGGTCGTTAGCTTTCGATACTGCTTACCTAGATATTATCGCGCGGTAAACGTTTTCTTCGCAAATTATGAAGGAAATTACGTCTATGAACCCCGCTGGCCTGATCGAAAATAGTTAATTAATGATGAAAGATCTTGAAACGAACGAGAGATTGAGTGATGTTGAATCATAGGCATTTGTACTTCTTGACAATATGCATTCAGGACTTGGGGGCTTGGGGTCAATGGTGATCCCAATTATTGGGTTTTTGGATGTATGATAAATTGATATTCATCATACAGGACGTGGAAAGAAATTCTGAATTGAGAAAACACAATCACGAATCTGCGATTGAGGTCTATAAAAATAAGTTTTCATCGTTCAAGTTTGAACACCTTGATTGGGTGAAAGTATTAAAAAGGAATATTCTCAGATATAATTATGAACATAAAGAAATGGATACATATATATAATGAAATGCATTGAGAATTCGCATTCACTATGTGATAAAAATATCAATTCTTTATAGGTTTTTTCAAAAGGAAACAACTACTTTCCAGGGCTATATGCCACGACGAACATTGAATTACATATATTGAACATACACGATGAGAATTTGAAGAAAAAAAATCATCTGAAGTAGAGAATTTGCATTCTCCCTCATATAAAGATATGCACATGATATCATTCTGAATATTCAACAGAAAACAACTACTTTCCTGGTTATTTGCCACGTCGAATTATATCTGTTGAACATTCAATAAAAGAGCATGAATCTGTCAAATCGGATAAAATAATATGATGTATTATGATATAAAAATATAACTTACCAATATATTATATGTTCAGTATCGAAATGAAAATAGAAATGTATATTATAATAAAATAATAATAACAGGTTCATTTGTATAAAGTTCAACAATATAATATCTTATACACTATTATATTATATTTCAATACTTTCACCCAATCAAGGGGTTCAAACTTGAACGATGGAAACTTGTAATTTTTGTAGACCTCAATTGCAGATTCGTGATTAGGTTTTCTCAATCCAGAATTTCTGTCCACGTCCTGTATGATAAATATCAATTCATCATATATCCAAAAACAAATTCCCAGATGACAGGAGAATGTCAACAAATCATAATTCTCAGATATCAGTTCGTTATAGTCATAGTTATATCATATAGTGAGATGAAAATTGTGTATATCATGAGGAATGGCTGAAAGAATAACTGGACTTCAGGTTACTGATGAGGATTTGATATCCGAAATGAATTTATTCGAGTGGAGTCATATAAACTGTTTGTGACAGATATAATTCCCATATCACTGATACGAATGATTTTTTTTGAAGTTCCTAGCTCATCAAGATAAGAGTTAATACAAGTATACTTCTCATACACATTTCAATTTTCATTTCAATACTGAACATATTGGTAAGTTATATTTTTATATCATAATACATTATATTATTTCATCCGATTTAAGAGATTTATGTGCATATCTTTATATAAGGGAGAATGCAAATTCTCTACTTCAGAAGATTTTGTTTTCAAATTCTTATCGTGTATGTTCAATAGATGTAATTCAATGTTCGTCGTGGCATAGATCCAGGAAAGTAGTTGTTTTCTGTTGAATGAACCGAGAAAGAATTGATATTTTCATCACATAGAGAATACGAATTCTCAATGTATTTCTTTATATTTATATATCCATTTTTTTATGTTCATAATTATATCTGAGACTGTTCCTCTCCAATTATTGGGGTCAATAACGATACCATGTCCAAGTCTGGGGGTAATCGAAGATTCCATCGATTCAGAGAGTGCTTTCTGTAGCTTCTGATAACCCTCAAGGCTTGGGGTCAATGGCGATCCCAAGACTTGGGGTCAATATCCATACCAAGTCCAAGTTTGGAGGTCATAGAAGATCCAATCGATTCAGATGGTACTTTTTGTAGCTACCTCGAAGACTTGGGGGTCAATTATGATCACAAGCAAATTGGGGTCAATGGCGATCCCAAGGTTTGGGGTCAATGATGATCCCAAGGCTTGGGGTCAATGACGATCCCAAGGCTTGGGGTCAATGACGATCCCAAGGCTTGGGGTCAATAATGATCCCAAGGCTTGGGGTTGATCGCAAGTCCAAGCCTTGTTTTATCGAAGTTTCCCTCGATTCAGCGGGTATTTTTTTGTAGCTTCTGATACCGATACTGACAGTGGAGAACATAACCAAAGAGAAGACGGCGAAAATTATCCCAAATGCGGTGGGAGTGAAGACGAGTGAAGACAAGCATATTTTCGGTAGTTTGATGTCGCGAGATAGTACACTGCTCTACATGAAGACAGTGTGGCAGAAAGCGAAGTGTGCTTCGCCGGTGATAATCGAACCTGAAATTGAAGTAAGTTGTGCAAGTGTGCATGAATATACCTAAATTCATATTTTTTCACTATTTTTGAAAAATTCTGTGGGGATTATTATACAGGGTGTTTCAAATTGTAATCATGAAAATTCAATAGGCAATAGAACTCGCGAAAATGGAAAAGGAAAATGAATGTACCGGGTGATTCCCCAAGGTGGTTCACCTATATAACTTTTTTACTATTGAACCCAACTTTCGATTTATAAATGGTCTTTTATTCCGGTTAGGGGAGTTTCCATATCCTCAATGAGTGTGACAGAGAAACAAGTCTGGATATTGCGCAGTCACACCCATTGAGCATATGGAAATTTCTAACGCGAATATCTTCGAAATCGTTCGAAAAAACCCTATCAAACCCGGTATCGTTGAATTTGTTATGCTAATCCCTAACTGATGAGTTAATAAAAAACAGGGTGTCCCTTTAAAAATCGAAAGTTGGGGTCTTGTACGTCAAACCGGAAGTACGATACAGTACGATACAGTAAGTATAAACAGAAAGATTACATTGAATATCTATCAAGACGCAGAGTTAGCTCGTTAACGTTCCTGAGAGGAACGAGAAAGTGCTTTCTTCCACTCAACCGTAAGTTGAGTTGCAAATCCGAACATAAGAACGTATGTGGTGATGAGCGGTACCAATGATATAAAGTATGCTGAACCTTAGTTAGAGGCGGAGATTGCCTGACAAAAGTGATTTCTTTAATTTAGTTTGAAACTGCTCACCTCAGTGATTTTGAGTTCTTCGGGAAGCCGATTGTAAAGCCGGGTTATCATAAATGAAAATGACGATTGATTTTGTGCGGTGTTGTGCAGGGGTGGAGTTAATAAAGATTTAAAGCGCGTATTAAGGTGGTGAACGTCTGTGCGGAATGTGATTTTTTGGTATAGGTAAGGCGGTTTCCGTGTAGTTATGATTTTGTGCAATAGTGTGCACGAATGAAGAATTCTTCTCTTCTCAATATCAAGCCAGCCAAGGTCATACAAAGGTCTGGAGATGTGATCACGTCTACTCAACCCAAATATCAGACGCACGCAAGAGTTCTGGATTAGTTGTAAACGATGTAGATCTCTTTTAGTAATAGCAGGTCCGTAGATAACATCAGCATAATTCAAGTGCGAGAGAACAAGAGATTCGCATGAAGTAATTTTACTACGCTGGTCCAAGATTTTTTTATTTGTATAGATCAATTTCAGATTACAGAATGCTCGCCTTATGATCATATTGATATGACTAGAGAAATTCAGCGATGTATCCAGTATCACCTCCAGGTTCTTAGCACAGGCAGAGAAAGGCAGTATGCAGTCCTTGACTTTGATATTCAAAGAATCGATGCAACGACCGCGAGCATCTTTTTTCTCAAATAACATTGCAACAGATTTGGAAGGATTGATTGAGAGACAGTATTTTTCGGAAATAGATATGATGGACGCAAGGTCAGAGTTGAGCCTCTGGTTTGCTTCTAACAATTCATTTTCTAGGAAAGATATGTATATTTGCGTATCATCCGCATAAAAGTGACTCTTACTGAATTCACAACCCCCAAATTTCGTTTCACTACCTTCAATAATATAAAAGTTATAGGGGTGAGCCACCTTAAATAATAATAAATAGCCCGGTATATATTTTTGGGGCATCGTTTTCAAGAAACGGAAAAAGTTTTTTATTCACAGTTCAAGAGTCCCTTGACTGCTTTTCTTCAAATTTATCAATTCTGATGTTCAGGATTAGCATTATTAGATTCACCCTAATTATACCAGTGCCGTTCCTACCTAATTGATATTTATGGCATCATCATTGTGCTCCACTGTTTTTTTTTTCATCAAATCTGATATTTTCATACGATAAAACAATTGAAGGTATTTCCTTGTATCATGATTTCATAGTATCTTGCATATTTTTCGAAAAAAAATAATGAGATCTGATTTGAAACCAAATTCTGATGCCGGTGCTTTCAAAACATTTATAGAGATTTCTCAATAATAACCGACCACAGTGAATCACGGCCTTGTGAGAGCTAATACAGGGTGATTATTAAAAAATGCGAATAATATTTCAACTTCTCGAAACCGAAGCTCTGAACACTTCAACAATTTTTCCGATTAAAATCTGGAACACCCAGTATATATACAAATAACTACTTACAGGAGTTTGTCAACTATATATTCCTTTCAATATGTAATTATAAATGTGAATAAAAATAAAATGTGATCTATAGTCAGTAACACATTGTTTGAAATATGTTTTTGACACTTCACAGTGACAGAAGTAGATGAAAAAATGTGTGAGCTTACAGGGTGTTTTTTGTTTCTTGTAGTTGATTTAGCATGTGAGCAGTATTATTTCCATATTTAAAAATTTGTTTTTTTTTTAGGAACCTGATATAGATTCCAGTGATTCGGCAGATGCTGAAAGTGGTAGAGATTCACCTCCCATAGAAATGAAACCGAAATTTCCGCTAATGAAATCGTTGATCAAGGAACCTTTACAAAATCAAAGTGATGGTTAGTATGTCGTATTCTAATGTTACCTTTAATTTTTTTTTCAAGAGTCAAATTGTTTTTTCAACACCTTGTATCTGAAAAAAAACAACTTATTTTCCTGTACCGGGTGACACGTTATAAAGTATCACAACCTGTAACTCATTCATTTTTGACAGTAGAAAAAAAAATGGACTCACAGGGGATTTATTTTCCCTTCTCGAAACATAAAATACGTTTTCACTATTTGGAGAGATATACAGCGAGCAACAAAAAGTGTTTGAATATTAAATAGAACACACTCTATATATTTCCTCACCATTGGAAAATTATTCCGAAGAGCTTCCCAAAAATACCGAACTCAATATATTGATCTTCTCCATTTCTCAATTCAACTAACAGAGTTTGATCGATTTTTGAACGATTTTCGAGAAAACGTCATTACAATGATTGAAAATTCAGGTATATGGTATATAAGCTATATCGCACCTGAGATGTTCAACATTCTATACATCTATATCGCAAATATTACATTCAATTCCCATTGGTGGTGATCACTGAAAATCAATATTGTAATCATTGACAAGGCATACATTCGAAAACCATTCGTTATCGACCAAACTGTGTTAAAAGCCCATACACTCAGTTTCAAAAAAAGTGAGGCACTTGATATTTGACCTATCTTCTTAAACAAAAAACAAGAAATAGTAGGCTGATTTTTAATTTTTTCTATTGGTTGGTAGGTAATGGCATTTGTCTTGAAAAAAAAATGGAGAGGTGAAAATTTTTTCAAAGCCTCCTTGATGGTGGTGGAATAACTCGAACCGTGATTCATTCTTAATTTTTGACTCACCCTGTGTGTTAATTGAGTAATGGTATACAAAGTGCTTACACCCTATACGAAAGAGGTTTCTTTTGCGAGCATTTTGTTTTTTTATTCATTGATTTATCTCTAAAATGTTCCGAATTACAGCTTTTTTCCTGATACCTCACGCTTATCCCACACATTAAATTTATTGAAGGATCAGAGTACTCAAAATTGATTGGGTTGTACTCTGGTATTATCACATTGTGTTTGAAAAAACAAGTGCCGTTGCCATAGCAACTAATTTGTTGTATGCCTCCATATTTGATCATTTGTCGTTGTGTCATTAATTTAGTGTCTTGTTTTATTGACTGAAATTACATAAAATGCCTCAAATAAATCCTGAACAAGTAGCAAGATTAGTTGCGTTAGTAAAAGATAGGCGTAGTAAACGTTACTTCGCTCGTGCAGTGGGAGTTCATGAAGCAACTGCTCGTAGAGCAATCCGCAAGTACGAACAAACAGGAAGCACCGCTCACTTTTTTTGAAACTGGGTGTATTTTGAGAAATACAAAAAATGAATATATAGACTACGGTATTTTTGGAAAGCTCTTCGAAAGGCCTTTCCAATGGTGAGAAAATATATAGAGTGTTCCATTCACTTTTTCCTGCTTCCTGTATATTTTTGCAGATAGTGAAAATGTATCTGTTGATTCGAGAGGGAAAAAGCTTTCCCCGCAAGACTATTTTTCGTTTTTTTTTCAACTGTCGAAAATAAAAGACTTATAGGGGTGGTATACTTTATAACTTGTCACCCGGTATATATTTCAACTTTTTGTTTTAAAATTCTAAGACGGTGTCATTTCCGGTGAAATCGAAAGTGACCAAAAAGTGAAAAATTTGCGAAAAATTTTCCACATCATTTACGATTCGATGACGTCACTACTCCAGTTTCCATATTGAAAAATATGCCTCGAAATGGACCATCTTTGATCACAATTTTGAACGAACTTGTTTTATCGTATCTTTCCCATTATACCGGATGTTTCATGATATGTGGTACACATTTCAAGAGGTAATAGGGACTCTAAAAAAAATTAAGAAGTTTCCATAAACATAGGTCGTAGAAGGCTTGTTTTGTGAAATACAGGGTGTTGAAGTTGATAATAAAAAATAATGTTCATTGAATTGCTGGATAACCGTAGAATAAAAATTCTTGATATGCATTGGGTACCTGATCCCAGTGGCACCGTTAAGGGGTATTGATGTGTGATTTTTCAGAAAAAAAAACATGGGTGGCGATGAAACATTTTGAAATATCATTCCAAAATATGAAATAGGATGCAATGTTGTAAAATAAAGCACCAACTGTTGAAACTCGTTATGTACAGGGTGGGTCAAATTGGGCACTTTCAAAGAAATGAATTATTCCGTATCAAAATCATAATTTCAGTGTACTATATTATCGTCACTCTACATTTCTCTAACTTCCAGCGCCATCTCAGACCAAGGACACCAAAACCATCACGAAAACCCTGAAAGACACCATCATAGAATTCCGAAAACTGCCACGCCAAAGCCTCATCCTCTGCGCCACCACCCTCCTCCTCATTCTCCTCTTCTTCTCTGCCGGCGTTCTCCTCCACAGGATCAGCCAAATCCAGACCAGGTACTCATCGGCGATGCGGGAGGGAGCTGCGCAAAGTTCAGACGACGTATACAATCACCTGTTGCAGTGGCATTCGCAGCTGCATTCGAAATCGGCGGGGGCGGTCAACAATTTTCTCGATACAAACCTGGATCTCATCTCTCAGGTGAGTCGAAATACTAGGGGCTTTGATAATAATAATAATATGGCTTGCGTCATCAGAGATCAACTGGTGACCTGCTCGCTTACGTCTCACATATATGGCAGCAATCTATTGAAAAATATGGTGAAACCTTAGGCGTGGCACTTGATATCTCCAAGGCATTCGATCGAGTCTGGCACCACGGACTCCTCGCCAAGCTTCCATCTTATGGCTTGCCTCCCCAGCTATGTTTCTCTGCTAGCTAGTTTTCTCTCAAACAGGTCTCTCTATGTAGTGGTCGACGGAGTTTCATCTGACTCTCTTATCATCAATGCTGGTGTTCCGCAAGGATCAATTCCAGCACACTATCTCTATAACTCCATATCAACGATTTGTTGGAAGCAACTTCATGTCCAGTACACAGCTTCGCGGATGATAGTACCCTCCATACCGCCTTCTCTTCCAGGGCTCCAATACCAGCCAGGCAAATCAGAAACGAACGAGGGAGAAATGTTGACAACATAAATTATGGATTTGGCAACAATTCTCGAATGGGGATCCAATAACTTGGTAGATTTCAATGCAAACAAAACACAAGCATGCCTTCCCTCTTGAAAATCAGATCTCACTATGCCCAACATAAGCTTGTCAGGAGTAACCATACCTTTGAAGACATCCATTTCGATTCATGCAATTACTATCAGCAATAACCTTTCTTGAGGAAATCACGTGAGATCAATTGCTAAAAGTGCATCGCAAAAACTTGATTATCTGTTTTGGGCCAGGAGCTATTTCACTTCCAGTCAGCTGCTTATGATCTATAAGGCACAGATCCGACCTGTCCTGGAATACTATTCCCATATTTGGAGTGCAGCATCCAGACATACCCTGAAACTGTTGGATTCTGTCCAAAAAACGGCAATTCGTCTCGTGCGTGATGCATCACTCACAAACTCACTCACTTCTCTGGAACAGCGTAGAAAAGTTGGCGATCTGGCTCTATTTCATAGATATTTTCGTGGAATGAAATATCAACAATTGTTCCTCCCTTGGCAGTCCCCGCGAGATTAACCCGTCGAGTTGAGGCTTCACACCCCTTCGTGGTCACTTTGGAGACCTGCAGAACATCTCTTTCCAAAGACTCGTACATCCAACGAACAGCGAGGCTCTGGAACACATTGCCAAGAGAGGTGTTCCCCGAGGCATATAACTTCTTGGTTCTTACGATGTTCTCTGAACATTACAGGATATCCTCTTTCGTGGGAACCAGAACATAAAAAAAATGTAATCCCAATTCCCATCACTTAACTATATACCATATTCAATGTTGGGAAAGAAAAAATGATATACCTCCCTGTACCTACCTATCTTCTGATATGTATTTCTAATTTGCAAATATTGGGATGAAATCCATATATATCAAATTTGTTTCGAGAATTTATATATGTTCATGCCAATAATGATGTATTTTATTCTATTTTTATAGTGCGAACCATTTAACTTTAATAAGAATAAATTACCAAATTCAGACTGAATATCAATATTTTGTGAAGTCCTATTGATGCAATATATGGATATACAAATTGAGTGAAAACAATAAACAATAATAATTAATAAGATATAATCACTTTACCATGGATTGTCTGTTCCATTGCCCCAATTCGTACAAGTTTGTATTAACTTTTATTTTTATTTTTACGAGTACCTACAATATCGGCTATCAAAATTTTCACACCGATGCAGATATGTATGTGGATATCTTCTTACATGAAATTTTATATTTTTTTGTAGGTGAGGCAATCTTTGGAAGCTCTTTCTTCAGTATTGGTGCAGAATAGTCAAGAAACGAGGCGAGAACCAGATAACAGGCCACGAGAAGTAATGAAAGACGGTAGTTAGCGTAAAAAAATCCCCATTCACTGTCAGAAAACACTTTTTGAAAAGCCTCAAACCTTATCAGTATTTCGATAGAATTTTGAAAATTTGCCAAGCGATAGGTTATGAAATGTAAACAGTGAGCACGTAGAGGTTAGAATAGAATATACACAATGTGAGAAAAACGATGCTATTTCAATATTCAAAACGTGCATCTGTTGTCATATTGTGTGCCACTTGTGAAGTCATCGATAAGTTTTTCAAGAAGCAACCACTGCTTTTGGGAGTATTATTTTGAAAAAGAATACGTCTGAAATTTGAATATTTTTTAAAGTACTCTGAAAATACAAAGAACAAATTTCAAAGCGTAAGAAATGCGAAAAGAGTTGAAATGGATATTAAATTTTTGGGATAGCCGTTACTCGTTTCAATGAAGGAAAATATTGTATTATTTCAAAGATGATTAGCCCCAAAATTGCACTGCATTTAAAAATGTCACTATTAGAAAATCTAAAAGAGAAATTCAATCGATAGTATACTGAAAAATATGAATATTCTACCAATATATCTGGACGTTTTTGAAACAGATCTGCTCCCGGATTCAACATAAAAATGGAAATTATCTTCGGTTTTCTATATTGACACATTTCAGTAACAGACGTCGATACAGGATGTAGTGAATCAATATCAAATTAATTTGTGTAGGTACATCAGAAAAATTTGGCATTTCAATAAAAAATTTCGAAAACATGGTTTGCTATCTGAAATATTCATCAAACTTTTTCCTATCGTTCTAACCGATAAACACGTGCTCACTTACAAACATCCACCCAGTAGATCTTTGCTGTAAGCTACAAACCAGTACCGTTCGAATTGTGCAATAGATAATTGCAAAATCTACATAATCATATGCCATTTTTCCATTAAATAGGGTAGTATAGATACTAATGAAGGTGCTTGATCCGAGTTTAAAATACATAGGTATTTCAAATTCATTTTCGACATGGTTATTTGATTACTAGCTGAAAAAAAAAAGTTAAATCAATTAATAAATCTCATCTTTATTCTTTCAGTTCCCATCAGGATTAGAAGTTATTTTTAATCCTAAGGATCAATTAGCTTGCAACATAATATCTTTATATGGAATTTCCGTTTTAATTGTATCAACCTGAAAGAGCATAATACACTCATGACTCAATTTGAGTGATCAAACATCCATGAATTCACATACCAAAATTTGTAAAAAGTGAGGTTAATTAATCGAAAAATTGTGCAGAGGTTGAAATTAATTTGTGAAGCCTTGTCAAAAAAAAAGGATACGGTGTTTTGTTTCAGGTATTGGGTTCTAATCAGTTCAGTACAAATTATTTATTATTTATTCCGGTTTGAATATTTTTTCAATGCCTATAGCAACTATTAGAGGGTAATAGGAATTCCTTGCTATAAAAGCCTCGAAATTTTGGAATTCAGGAATTGGACGTTATATTTTTTGAGCGCGACATAATAATGTACAATGTGCATTTTAAAACATACATCTGCACTTTTCCTTGAACCTACAAGGTTTGGGATGGTTATAAAACACTTTTCATTGTCTAAAGAAAACACGAAAATCTTGATTATGTTCCACATGAAATCAGATTTGTTCGAGTTTGGCCAGCAAAATCTAAAGTGAGTCTTTATTATACGACTGCTGTTTTCAAAATGTCAAAATGCTCAAAAATTAGAAAAAAGCATTACTGGGAAACTATTTATATTCCATCGTTCCAATATTTTCTGCCACAAGCACTGAAAATTGTTTGCTCTGTATATTTATATGTAGGTAACATTATACCTATTTCTATAAATAATAGAGATTGGAATTATTGAATCTGTAGGTGAATTTTGAATTTCCGAGCACTTATTAACATTTTGAAAAACACATCAAATATTAATGACCGTTTTGAATCTTGCTCAATATAACTTGACGAACGTGAATTTTAATAATGTTGAAGTGTTCAAATTTCGACTTTTTTTAAAAGAAGGTGCTCAAGTCAAGGCTCAACTGCTCAAATCACAGAAATTTGACAAATGTTCAATTACTTACATCTATATTTCTCCACTATTGATCAATCGAATTTTGAACACTTTACAAATATTATTGTACTTCAGATCCGCACATATCAAAAATGTTTTAAAACGAATGCATAAATGGTGAAGTTGCTATTTTAAACCAAATAAGTATAGTCTTTCACATTACTGAGACAGTGACAAAAAAATGTCTGCATAGCACCTTGGTCTATAGACTCGGCTTGTATACTTAATCGTCAAAGATCCATGATCCCAAAAAAAATCTTAGAGGAACCGATCACTTTCCCCCATAGTGATTAGAATTTTGCCAATATTTGCAGAATATAAGGCATCAATTTGTTATTTATAGTTGTATATTTTTGTATCTAGTAAGATAGGTATGTTTGAATAAGTTTGTTTTTATTGAAAGGTTTTTAGATGTTCCTTTGTTGTTTTATACAGTGGGCACTTTATTTCCCAAATCGTTATACTTTTGTTGTGTTTTGTTTTGAGGGAGGACTTTTTCGATTTGTCCAAAAAATATTAATTAAAAAAGTGGACAAGTGACAATTTGAAAAAGCCCTCTCAGTATTCCTAATACAGAAAAACTTGTGATATATTTGTTTTGCTTTTCCATTTAATACATAATGTTTCACTATGATCATCGTTTTTTAATTCCATCACCGAATAAACTTAACAAAACGAAATGTAGAAAAATCTTCACAAACCATAAAATGTTCACAAAATTCTTGAAATCACGAAAAATCGTTGAGGTCTTGATCATCGACTAAAATGTTCATTTCATCCATAATGATTCAATGTTGAATTTATTCTCTTCTTTAAAAAACTCTTGTGATGTTCGTAAATTCGATGGTTAAACGTCCTTCCTGTCTGACCTCAGGACAATAAGATCCATGCAATTCAGTTTCCTGGAGATCAAAAGGATAAACCTTCACAAGGTGTTATTTGTGCTTAAGTAACTCCCAACTTTGGTTCATGTAGAAATAATGAATCTAGTTTTTCTCTTGATGATCCGAAAGTAATTATTAGTATTGTTTCTGATTGATGGTAGTTTAAACTTCTTGGAAGTAATATATGTTCTATCAAATCAAACGACCGGGCTAATCAATCTGAAAATTCATATAGTCTTATAGAATATTTCCGAAATTCCATTTTATATGATTTGTACATGGTGACACCTATCACTCAACGATATAGTTGTTAAGTGTCGCCATCTATCGGGAGACTTCAAACACTCTCACATCGTGAGGAAAGTTACAGAGAAGAGAAAAGGAATGTGTAGGCATATCAATCATATCATATCAAAGAGTCCAAAAGTGGTTACCTGGTTTCAACCTGTGCGAAATTTTGTACACAAACCATGTTATTGTTTTGGTGCCAGAAAAAGTGATTCACCTTAGGTGGTGAATACCACAAATCATCAAGGTAAGGACTAAATAAATATTTTTTTTTTCAACTTGGCACAATGACAATCAACGTAGAATAATATATTTTAGGTTAGGAATAAGGAATATCCATATTATCCTTTTCCCTCGCATTTTCCCAAGAGGAAATATGTTTTTAGTAGAAACTGATCTACAAAATATATTGCATGCAAATATATCATGTTATAATAATATGTGAATTTAACTTATTTATTTGCGTTATTGTTCATACTCGGGTAAAAATAGATAATTTATTACTGTTACAAGAAGAAGTATCGCGAAATACTTAGAGTGGGTGGTGAGTGGCTGTCCAGTTCAAAGATATTATGAAGTAAATTACCTTGTAATTCAACACTAATTATAACTTATGGTGCTAAGCTGTTGGTTGTAGTGCCTAGTCCAGTAATATTTTGCCTTTCTTCTCTTTGTTTTTCCTGAAAACATATATAAAGTTGTTTGTTCAGGTCTCTAGCTTCATTCATCAATTGCTTCTCAGACAACGAGAATTCCAAAACTTCAAACTGTTCATCTAGGTATATAGTCAGAGTCACCTGTATACCTAGATGTAATCGAATTCATTCAATTTGGTGTTAATCATGAAAAGAGGTCGTGACATGAAGGTTACTGGTTACTAGCGCTTTCAAGGGCGCACAATGCTTTCCTGAAGCACGTGAGGTTGATGCAAGGTGATGCACTGCTTGTGACGTTCAAGTCTGCAACGTTTTCCTACCATTTGATGAATCCCCCAACGGGGGAAATATAATTTGCTGACCAAAATCATTAAAGTATGCTGACCAAGCCTTTCTGGTTCGAATTTTTTCTTCAAATTGCTTATTTGAATATTTTATATAAATATATAGATGCCACCAGCAAAAAAAATTCCGATCCACCCCTTCAGAGGGGTAGTTTATTCTTGAAGTTTTTCAAAAATCCTTGCTGACCGAGCATTTCTGGTTCGTATTTTTCCATCAAATTACGTATTTGGATATCTCATATAGATTTATAGATGCCACCAGCGGAATTATTTTGATCCACCCCTTCAGAGGAGTAGTTTATTCTTGCTATTTTTCGAAAATCCTTGCTGATCGAGCATTTCCAGTCCGTATTTTTCCATCAAATCACCCAAGGGGTGGATCGAAATAATTCCACTGGTGGTATCTATAAATCTATATGAGATATTAAAATATGTAATTTGATGGAAAAATACGAACCAGAAATGCTCGGTCAGCATACTCCAATTTTGGTCAGCAAATTAAACACCTCCGTCCCAACGACCTGTATTCAGGGGGATAACAGGAGTAGGGAGGAAGTTTATGGATTCATCTCTTTTCCTACTGGTCGCGAATTTACCTCAACAAACATAATTGATTAAGCGCATTATTGGGTGTGAAGATAACAGATCAATCAATACAGGGACGTAAGCTGATGGTGAAAGAAGATGGTACAAATTATTACTTGTACGTACCCCCTTGAACTTTCCCCACGGTGTCCAAGCAAAAATCTTTACGATTTCAGCTTCGGAACAGGAAAATATGGAGAGGAAATATCAAAGAGGTCACATCGGAATACAAGGCGTCGAACCTCAAGATCAGATGAAATCCCTTTTCTATCAGGCAGATCGCTCCACGTGGTGGTGGACGGAATTCGTCAGATACCATTACCATCAATTTTTGCACCAATTTTGTTCCTACTTCATATCAATAATCTACTGGGAGTAACTATTTGCCCTATCCCCAGCTTTGCAGATGATATGGTATACCTTCCATACTGCGTTCATCCTGGGGAACCAACAACCTATAGTCAGAGATAAGTTACCCACCTATAGTTGCCTGTATTATCTTTAGAAAGGCGGAACTCAGTATAACTGATATAATAATGTCTGGTACCACCATTTCCACCAAGACCACTCTATCTATGATCGGTTTGGTGGGGTTATAGGAAAGAAACTTTGCATCGAGACGATCTCTTTAGAACTGGATAAAGACACCTGGAATGTATACGCTAGATCACTTCCTCTGAAAAAGGATATCTAAGACTGGATGCGTTAGCATTCTTTGCTCCTGGATGAGGTAAAAGTGAATGTAATTCCAAGATCGATATCGAGGAAGATCTCCACGGCAATGGAAAGTGGAGGTCCCACTGGACATTGTTCTTTTGAGGTACCACCTCTAAAGTATGAGAACATCTGTTGCTGCATTATTGCTAGTACGCCAGAATTGGAACAACTTTTAGGAAAATTCTAGGCTCTACCAGAATTCCAGGAGAAAAATAATAACGATTAGTACTCGTATACCCACAGTCTACAAGCCACAAGTGCAGATGATGTGAAGTCTAGGTCTAGAAATTTCAGAATAAAGATGTTGGAAATATTTGGGATTCACTTCGGATTACACTAGATTATGAAACCATTAGTGATTAGTGTATTCAACAATCCGATAATGACTTACCTAATCGGGTACCTGACTACTACCTAATATTTGAATATATGGGTACCCTGAGGGGTACCCGTATAATTAAAAAAAAATAAAGATATAATATAAAGATAGGTAGGTCATGAAATTAGTGAGCAAATTCTCAAAAGTCAAATGAAGGAGTTGGAGACGCATGCGTTTCAGTATAATTGCACAGCATCAGTTCAGAATAGTCCGGGGATATACAGGGTGTCCCGAAATTACTCTGCCAAATTTCACCAGCGGCTTCTACGACCAAAAATAGAGGAATGTCTCCTAAGGGAGCTACGGCCTGAAGATTGTATTTCTTGAATATTTCCGAAACGGCTCGTGATAAAATGATGCAATTTGGTACAAGAACTAAAT